TGTTCTGGTGGGGTACAACTTACATACATACATACGTGACTCACAGCCATAAGTTGCCACTGAGATGATGCATGACCTGAAGAATGTTGCTCTTACTTTCAAGTCAACAGTTGACCACGAAATTAAGTACACATATATTTGCAGCGATTCGCCGTCTTCATTTTCAGACGACTTGTACAATGTCTATTTTAGGAATTTGAAAAAAAAAAAAATGTTTATTAGCATAACACGATGTCTCATTTATATTTCATCTATATCTGCAAGTTTCAGTGAATACAGATCAGCTTGCTTAAGCTACGTACACCGAACTCGCTAGCGTAGTTGGTTTAATCTGACTTCGCGGCGATCGGGTGACGAACACCTTGTGATCCGGGTTCACGCCTGGGTGTACGCAGAAAAGCCACATTTCTCTCAGATATACGGTATCTATCATAGAATCAAGGCTAATGGGTTGCGATATCCATAGTACCGAGCCAAACAATAAGGCCTTATGAGCTGAACTATTGAAAGATCCTCAGAATATCACTGACCAAACAAGAGAAGAAATGCCGGCATCCTAAAAGATCTAAACAGCAACGAAGATTGGCTGGTAAACAACATGTTGTATCAAAAACTGACATACTCTGGCCACATCAAGCATGACGGATTGGTAAGAATAATAGGACAAGGCATGGTACACGGAAAGAGAGGTCGGACTGGCACGACTATGTGCACAGGGTATAGGAGAAATCATAGCCAGGAAAGTGCACGAGACGGAAGAGCTGGCAAGACACCAAGCTTCATTCAGGCAGGCCGTGGTAAGAACAACGTTAATCAAAGAACATATAACATGATGAATGTTCCATAATAATCACAGACACTGAAGACCTCAAAGATGAGGATACAGCTTACTATCTGAATCGGATGGCGTCTAGGTATAGCAATCGGAGCAATGCGACATAAAAATCCCACAAAAGCCTCATCATCATCATCATGTAGCAGGTCCTCTGCAGAACGTCGCTCTCATCACAGTCTGTCTGAAATAAACTCGATCTCTCGCCAGTTCTCTCGCCTCATGCACTTTCACACTCAAGGAGTCACTTATATCCTGTGCCCATCTTCGTGTCGGTCGGCTCCTGCCCCTCCTGCCTGGTACCATGCATTCTGCTATCATTTTTTCCAATCCGTCTTGGCGCTTGATATGAAAAAAAATATTACAGCTTTCGAGAAAGGATGCTGTTTATTAGCCAATCTTCCTTGATGTTCAGATCTTTCAAGACATCAATATTTCTCTACAAGAGCCTACAGTCCGTAATTCAGTGAAAACACAACTAGAGACGACAGCATATTAATGACCGTGCTAAGGAAAAGTGTGACGCATTGCTTTATGTGCAGTGAAGATGATCGTGTGTAAAGGGGCGACACATGACATTAGAGCCCCGATCGTTCCAGTTTTGAATTAATCAGGCAAAGCCGATTTCATGAAACTATTGAATACGCCCTGTGTGCTAAATTACGATCTAGCTTAGCTGCGCTTAGCTGTACATAGTGCGTACCATTTACTTTCCGGAGTAAAACAGGTTCTTGCTAGTCAGCCTGGTTTTAGAACTAGCTAATTCTTTGGCCTTTTTTTTCTGGGCACTGATTGCTTTGGAACACACAGTAATGCTTCTTAGGTTATCACATTTAGTCTTAGTCGAGCTGAGCTGAAATGAGAACATATATCATAGCACTGGGACATTTCCAAAAGCGCTCCGTTCTTATCTTCAGCAGTTCGAGTAGTTTTCGTCACTTGCTTGAAACTGAAAATATGAGAATAGTCAAGAGTTAGACATGAACTTATAACGTACAGTAATCACAAGTAAGTGTACACATATAGTCATTTCCTTTACAATTTGTTTGTCCAGGGTGTTTATTTTATCCATAGCATCTGTGCAGCTGCATGTGGGGTCCGAGTAGTTTAGCGGCTAGAGGCTTGCCTACAGATCCGAAGTTCGTGGGTTCAGGTCTTGTTTTTTTTCCTTCCAAAAAGACCTCGGCTTCTTGTTGGACACAGCCTTAAATGGGTACCAGATGAAGTCATGGAAAGTATAAACGGGCGGCGTGATGTCCGGGTACCGATTGGTCTATAAAATTTAGGTCTAGCCATATGTACCCAATATGATTGAAAATAAGGAAAAGGGCCCGTTTCGTACTTTTAAAAATGCTGGTCTGCTCGCGCGCGCGCGCGCGCGTGTGTGTGTGTGTGTGTCAGTTTGTGAAGGGGCTTTTGGTTGTTGTTAACTCAATAAATACCAAGCAACTGAGTATTTGGAAATGTTTTGTTAACCTCTATATTTCTTCTCCAGCCATTACACGTATCTGTATTAACCATTTTTTATTATTTAAGCTATGAGGTTCTAGTATCATTTTTATAATCCATTCAGAATTCTAGTATCATTTTTATAATCAATTCAGAATTCTGGTATCATTTTTGAAACCATTTAGAATTCTAGTGTCATTTTTAATCCATTCAGAATTTTAGTATCATTTTTTTTTAATCCGTGTAGAATTATAATGTCATTATTTTGAATCCATCCAGAATTATGGTGTCATTTTTAAGAATTCATTCAGAATTCTAGTATCATTTTTTGAATCCATTCAGAATTCTAGTATTATTTTTTTAATCCATTCAATATTCTAGTATCATTTTTTTAATCCATTCAGAATTTTAATGTCATTTTTTAAATTAATTTAGAATTCAAGTATCATTTTTTAAAATCCATTCAAAATTCTAGTTTCAGTTTTTGAATCCAATCAAAATTATAGTATAATTTTTTTAATCAATTCAGAAAGAATTATAGTATAATTTTTTTAATCCATTCAGAATTCTAGTATCATTTTTAAATCCATTCATAATTCTAGTGTAATTTTTTTTAATCAATTCTTAATTCTAGTATCTTTTTTTAATCCATTCCCAATTATAGTATCATTTTTTGAATCTATTCAGAATTCTAGTATCATTTTTTTAATCCATCCAGAATTCTAGTAAAATTTTTTTAATCCATTCAGAATTTTAGTATTATTTTTTAAATCCATTCAGAATTCTAGTGTAATTTTTTAAATCCATTCAGGATTATATAATTTTTTTTAAATCAATTCAGAATTTTAGTAACATTTTTTTAATCCATTCAGAATTATAGTATGATTATTTAAAACCATTCAGAATTATTGTATTTTTTTCGAATCTTTGCTAATTCTAGTGGGTTTAAAAAAAAAATATATTCATAATTGCAGTGGTTATAATTAAACTTTTTTAGAATAACAGGTATTTTTTTAAAGTTACAAATGTTTGAGATATAACAAGTTTAAATAGGGATTCTCTGAGATATAATAAGTTTAATAAATGATTCTCATGTACCAAAAGAATAAATTATATTTTATTATTCAAATGATAATTTAGTAACTTGATTGCCAATTCTGTCGCATCATTTTACAAAGAAGGTTTACTAAAATATTCATTAAATATAGTTAGATAATTTAATTTTATAGCTTAAAAAATATAAAAAAAAAATAAATTGCATCCTTTCTCATACACATTATTTACATATTTTCTAAATTTCTTGTTGTTTTACTGTGAGTAACTATGTCTCGCATTGGTAACATAAAGTGTCGATGAATATGCTTTGTATGAATGAGTCTTTCTTTATTCTGAATTGGCCTGTCCTATGTTCGATACTGGGTTTGGTAAAATACTAAGTTTGTTTTACAGCACCTGGTGTTAATTTTGTTCAGCTAGTCGGTGTTGTTTTAATATATTTGAAATGAGATGCCTCTTTAATCCTTTATTTATTTTGTCACATAAGTCACTCTTATCGATCTTGTAATACTGAATCTCTTCTAAGAACTTGTGCCGTCTTTCCCAGTACGTACATAGCTAAATCATTGGAGGGTCCGTGTTTTGGTTATATGTAGAGGAAATACACTGGCATTTATAAAGCCTGGAACTTTCTTTACTTCAAGCCAAACTCTCTCTTTAGAATAGACTCCATTCAACGGGGCTCTCTTCTCTTCTTCAAACGTCGTTATGGTCGGCTGCACTTTGGAAGTTACAGATGTGGGAAAAATGGATTGACTCTTACAACTCTTTTTTACCACATGTATGGTATTTGGAGTCATCTTAACAGCGAACCATTTCAATGTATAGCACTACGTCTGTGAAACAGTCATGTTAAGCCGAATACCGAAGGCCATTTCCAGTATTCATAAGCCACACAAAGAAACTAGAGATTCTACACAGGTAGGTAAACGCATCGCTGAAGCACTCAAACTGTGTTACTTCAGGGGCCTTTGCACTTTCTATAAGAAATTTACATACAGTCTTCTAGTTTTAAACTACTGGACGTAAATTTGACCAGAAAAACCACACAACAGCTAGAGGCTGCTGGGGATGGTTCTGCAACGTCCTGTAAAGGATACGCAACTAACATTTCAGTTTTTATGTTCAGCTGTTTATCTGCTTGTATGCCGGCATGTATTCCTCATGTTTTAAATTCTGTTAAACTCTCGTTCTGTGTTTATGATGGCTGTCACTGAGCGCATACTTGCAAAAGCACCTGATGGTATATTATGTATGTCTTTCTACCAGTTTAAGCGCCAGTCATGTATGTATGAATGTATGAATGTATGAATGTCTGCCTGTGTGCCTGCCTGCCTGCCTGCCTGCCTGCCTGCCTGTCTGTCTGTCTGCCTGCCTGTCTGTCTGTCTGTCTGTCTGTCTGTCTGTCTGTCTGTCTGTCTGTCTGTCTGTCTGTCTGTCTGTCTGTCTGTCTGTCTGTCTGTCTGTCTGTCTGTCTGTCTGTCTGTCTGTCTGTCTGTCTGTCTGTCTGTCTGTCTGTCTGTCTCTACTTTCTGTTGGAGTTTACAACCGATAATCTCGAAAAGAAGAAGTCTCTAATCATAAAGCTCCTATCTTTGGTGTTAGTTATATTGTGTCTTATGCACGCTTATTATCAGTCCCTTTTTTTTCCCCAGAGAAATTAATGGCATCAGTAACAAGTTCAGCGACATCGCCACCTCGTTATTTTTGGATTTTCCTGTGTCTGATCATCGTTAGCTGTTTGCTGTTGTTCCTTGTTCCTTGGAGACTGTGGGCAGATTTTACAGACGCCGTACATTTACTACCTTCCTCGACAGCATCTCAGTCATTCTCTAAAACACTAAACAATTCAACCATCGAGGAGCTCTTGCATAACATCTCTAGACAAGTCAAAGTTCCTGGAGTAGATTGTGCAGCAATATTCGAAGGCTCCAAAAATGAAACAGATGCTGCCAGAGCTATGACCAGAAATGTCAGCTCTCCAATTTCGGACGCATGTTACTTAAATATAACAGAAAACTGTGATGACTTTAAGAAACAACGAGGGTATATAATGTCGTCATTAACGGACGAGGAAGAGCAATTTCCCATAGCTTATTCCATACTTGTCTATAAGGACTCAGAAATGGTAGAGCGACTTTTACGTGCCATCTACCGACCACAAAATTTTTACTGCATTCATGTAGATCAGAAGGCTTCTAATGATTGCTTCGAAGCAATTACCTCCATAGCCAAATGTTTTCCTAACGTGTTCCTGGCTAGTAGAAGAATTTCGGTAGCATGGGGCTGGTTTACGGTGCTTGAACCGGAGATTGTATGCATGGAAGATTTGTGGAAGTACCGTAAATGGAAGTATTTCATCAACTTGACTGGGCAAGAGTTTCCGTTAAGGACTAATCATGAACTTGTGAAAATTTTAATGGCCTTTCAAGGAGCAGTCGACGTGTCTTCATCAGTCAAGGCGTAATATTTTTTAATGTTTATTATGTCTAATGACAAGTGTACTTACACAGCTACTAACTTACATACTTAAATACTGCACGGGAAAGCATAGAAAATTTGTCAGCTTTACAGGACACCTACATACACTTTTTTAAACACAAGTACGGTAATGTAATCATTTCAGTCATTTAATATTTTCAACTGTTTTTTTTTCTTGTCGTTGTTCAGCTAATGGAGGTTAATCAATACATCAATGTGAGTTTGTCTATTGTGACTGTTTCTGTAATGCTGACACATATTTTCAGTTCTTTCATTTGTTAAAGTGAAAGTTTACTACCCGGGAAAGCTTAAAAATGTAGCAGATATTTGTTATTGTTTTTTGCGAGTGTAAATGAATGATATCACAAAGAAGGCAGTGTGCTGCATCATCACTCACCACACTGATATTTATGTGAGAGTGTTCGTCTCTATTCTTTCTTTCTGTATATGTATGTGTGTGCGTGTCTGTGTGTGTGTTTTTTCAAGGACCATGCGACTTGCGTTGGTTTCGACAGTGGTATCAAGAAAGCCAACCGTCCAGAAAGCAATGGCAAACTACTGGAGGTAAATTTGCAACGTCCTGTAAGGATAAGCAACTAACCTTTAACGACAGTGAAAGGAACAAAATAGTACGGACATGTAACACGATCTGCTGGTCTCTTGAGAACGAAAATACAGGGTTTGGTAGAGAGGAGGATGAGAACAAAAGGCAGCAGATGAAGAAAGATCTGGATACACAATTTGGCTGATCAGACGGGTTCTCAAATATATAAACAACTCGTCCATTGGCTTTGACCAACAGCTGGTACTATATCAGGTCGACTCTACGTTGCCTACTGAAGAGGAAGATTGAGCACGTGTGGGAATGTCCGAGTACAGTGATATGAATTCTTGACTGAATTTTTTTCATTACACTAACAGAGCAGCAATAAATGATCCAGGAAATTATGTGTTTTATAATGATGACAATGTTGACTGTCTGCATACAAATGTGTCAGTCTTGTAAAACGGATATGCACGCAACATTCAGTTTCTGGAACGGGAAAAGATTTTATAAATGGGTAAACAACCAGAACTTTCAGAAGATAATGGGGTGTGATGAAAAATAAAGTCCGTGCTAATGGAGCACAAGGCGTTTCCAGCAGGCTTCGTAATGCCAAGATGCCGGATTCGATTCCAACTGCAGGCGATTTGGGAGCAGACTGCCTTGGGTTAATTTTGATACAGGCATCGGGAGCCAGCCATTCACTAGCAATGGCAAACTATTGAACGTAAATTTGCCTAGAATCACCGCAAGGTATATATATATACACACACACATACACACACACACAATGGCGAGGATGGTTTTGCAAAGTCCTCTACAGACCTGCAACTAAATCTGACCACCACAATACCTGTATCATTCATGTCCCACTTGCACACCTTTATATAATAGCAAAAGTCGGCCTCGACATCTTTTACCGATCTGTTATTCACCTTAGGGATTCTGTCATCCTTCATTCTCCAGGTGTGACCCAGGCACAAGAGCCTTTGTAGCCAAGCATTTAGAAAGCTGTTGTAAAACATGCTCTGTCTAGTACTTTCGTGTTTGTGATCTTGTCTTACCACTAACATGGGAATAATAATAATAATAATAATAGTGATACACTTCTTCTCTACGTCCTCTTTTACCGCTTCGGGTGTCGAGGGAGATATAAGGTCCTGCTTCGTGCTTATTTGGCTGCTTTGACCATAGACACATCGTGGTACTGTAGAGTTTCTCTGATATTATCATTCCATATGTTCTTGGTCTACCTCTTGCTCTACGTCCCTCTCCTCTTATGGTATAAGCCTTGAATGGTATAGCACCCGAAGGCATTCTTTCCAAGTGGGTAAACCATTTGATTTGCTGTCTTTCTAAAGAATTTAGAATTGGTTCTGTGCTGACTTTATCTCGTATGACCTCATTTCTGATTTTATCTCTTCTGATCACTGCTACAGCCTTTCTCAGACACCTCATTTCTATCGTCACCAATTTTCTTTTCTGTTTTGTTGTGAGTGACCACATCTGGCACTGGTAGCATAGGTTGGGAATGAATTTGCTTTGTGTGAGATGTCTCTTATCTCATTGTACTTGTTCTTCTGAGAGTACTAGAACTGTGTTTATGTAAACAGTTCGTTCTATTGAAATTAACAAGGTATTTACTGTAGAATGTTCCAGTTGTTTTACTGTCAATCTGTTAACTTGGATGTTCTGGTATTCCAGACTAGACCGTAGACGACTGCGAGGGCGTAACCCGCCTCACGGCCTACGTCCTGCCAAGGGATCGGTCCATATAGCAGCCAACAGGTGAGCACCCTGACATTCTTCTTCTTCTTCTTCTTTTTGTTCTTCTTGTTTTTCTTGTTCATGTTCTTGCTCTTGTTCTTCTTCTTCTTCTTCTTCTTCTTCTTCTTCTTCTTCTTCTTCTTCTTCTTCTTCTTCTTCTTCTTCTTCTTCTTCTTCTTCTTCTTCTTCTTCTTCTTCTTCTTCTTCTTCTTCTTCTTCTTCTTCTTCTTCGTCTTCTTCTTCTTCTTCGTTGGTCACCGGCTGTAAGCTCCGACAGCAAGTCCTATTTTGTCGTCCATTTGGACTCTGACTTTGTACCAAGGCAATAGTTTTAGGTGTAACTCCATTTTACTATCTTATTTGTGTTGTGCCTTGCTACTGGGGCAGACGCACTCCGTCTTTGAAGGAAGTCCCCATTTAGTTGACGACTCGCTCGTTGGGGAGGCAGCGGGTCTATTCTGGTTTTCACGCGGACACGCTCGGGGAGCTACGAAACAGTGTAAACACCTTCATCATCATCATGTGCCGGGGCCGATAAGTCTAGGCTCTCACATCTTACATGATGACCAGTATCAAGAATTAGTTCAATGTTTTTTGTCTCTCCCTATTCCTCTGTCCAGGCCATCCAGGTATGTATCTGGTGATAATGAGGACGACGATGATGATAACACTGACGATCATGATTCATCATCATCATAAACCACTTTTACCGTTAAGCTTTGAGGGGAAAAATAATTTGCAATCCAGTGCACGCTGGCTGCGGCTGGCTATTGTCTTGCCGTGAAGACGTAGAGTGACTTTTTTATTTTGTTTATTTTTAAGTATCCAGAAACCATGAGTTGTTAACCATTAGGCTCGGTATTATGGATAGCACAACCCTTCGGCCTTGATTCCGTGATAGATAACGTAAATCTGGCAAAAATGTGGCTTTTCTGCCTACTCCCGGGCGTGAACCCGAACCTCAAGGAGTTCATCACCCGGTCGCAGCGAAGTCCAGCTTCACCAACTGCGCTAACAAGCTGGGCGTAGATTGTCATTAATATTGTCGATCCATATTTCCTCGGCCTTCCTCTTGCTCTTGTACCTGATCTTCTCAGATGTAGTGCTTGTGATGATATTTGATCTTACTGCATTCTAACGAGATAGCCAAACCGCATGAGGATTAAACTTGTAAAAATCGAACTGAAATTTATAATAAGCCTCGTTAGCGACGTGTGATGTATAAAGTGACCTTTTTCATTATATAAAAAATCCGTTTTGTTTAGTTAAATTAATATATTATGTTTATCTTCTTCTAAAGGGAATTTGTGGATTTCGTACTGCATAATCAAACATCAAAAGATCTTTTGAACTGGGGGAGGAAGATCAAATTTGCTGATGAAACCTACTTTGCCATGCTCAGTTCGAATCCAAAGTTGGGCATTAAAGGGACTGATAAAGGTTTTTACATTTTAGTCTGGGAAAATAAGTTAGTTTTGTCTGTACTTGAAATAACACACACACAGACACGCACACACATACATATACAGAAAGAAAGAATAGAGACGAACACTCTCACACAGACACATGCTGAACCCACCCAGGACTCATCACACATAACCTGTTTCTTCGTCCTAGATGTTGCCTTAGTTTTTGTCCAAGTTGAGGTTTTAAAGTAACTGCAATCGGGTCACTTCATCATTGTTCCGTTGCTGTGCCAGTGAAAACCAAATGTAAATAAATGTCACTTAATTTCTCATTAATGCAAGGAAAGACAAACAGAACTCCGCCTCCGATGCTGAAACAGCTGCCAAGATTGGAAACAACAAAGCCGTATTCCATATTATGAAACAGCTGTGCAATCACTCACCTACACTAAATACACCCATTAAAGACAAGCAGGCTAAACTACTGCTATCCGACGACCAACAAACAAAGCGATGGGCAGAACATTTTAAGGAAATATTAAATAGATCAAATCCTGACATCATTCCCAATCTAGAAGAAGAAATTATTACACCGACACTTGTTGCCTCCAGCGAGTCATTCACAATAGAGGAGATTAAAACAGCTATTAAAAAATTAAGAATAAACAAAGCTACCGGAGAGGACAACATCTCAGGGGAAATGCTCAAAGCAGCGGATGAAAACACCCTGCAACATTTGCTCCAGTTGATGGATGAAGTTTGGCAAACCTAATTCCCACCACAACAATGGAAAGATGGTGTAATCGTCAAATTACCTAAAAAAGGTGATTTATCCGATTGTAACAACTGGAGAGGCATCACCCTGCTTTCGATACCAGGGAAACTATTTTGTAGTATGCTACTAGAAAGATTGAAAAAAATCCATAGATGAAAGATTAAGGGAAGAATAAGCCGGTTTTAGATCCAAGCGGTCATGCATAGACCACATCTTTACTCTTAGAATAATTGTTGAAGATTCTACAGAATTCCAGTCGAAATTATTGATCAACTTTGTCGACTTCCAAAAAGCCTTCGACAGTATCCATCGTCCAACACTCTGGAAATTGCTTAACATCTATGGTTTCCCCATCAAATATATCAACATCATTAAAATCTTTTTATAATGAAACACGATGCTGTGTAAGAACTGATTCCGGAAATTCTGACTGGTTCCCGGTGGAAACAGGAGTGAAGCAATGCTGTGTCCTATCGCCGATGCTTTTTGATATAGCAATCGACTGGGTCATGCGCAAGTGCATAAATAACGCAAATTTAGGCATTACTTGGATTGACAAAATTCTGGAAGACCTAGACTTCGCCGACGACATAGCACTCCTGAGTTCAGAACACACAGACGCCCAAGAAAAAAAATCAACCGACTCCAGAATTTCTCAGAACAAATTGGACTCCAAATTAACACCGCAAAAACAAAAATTCTAGACCTTACCAACAGTTCAGTTGATATCACGCTGAATAACAACAGCCTTGAAAAAGTCAACAGTTTCACTTATCTAGAGAGCAAGATGTCATCTACAGGAGATGCCGCACCAGAAATACCATTTAGAATAGCACTGGCATCTAGTGCCTTCAATAAACTGTCCAACATCTGGAAATCAAAGACACTTAGCAAACACACAAAACTCAAGATCTTCAATTCTTGTGTGATTCCAGTACTAACCTATGGATGCGAGAGCTGGAAATCAACGAAAACTCTAGACACAAAATCAGACAGTTTTGAAAATAAATGCCTTAGAATAATACTAAATTTCAAATGGTCAGATTTCCGAACCAATACACAAATAGGGCAAGAATCCAGGCAAGAGTATGTGTCTAATTTTATACGAAAACGCTGCTGGAACTATGTCGGCCACGCCCTTAGAATAGATAAGTCAAGACTTCCTTACCAAGCCCTCATTTGGACACCACAGGGGAAAAGATCTCGTGGAAGACAAAGGGAAACCCTACGTAGAACTATCATCAGGGAAGGCTCACTCATGGGCCACTCAAACATTCAAGACCTACAACAGATTGCAACGAACCGCCATGCATGGAGAGTCATGACCTCTGCCCTATGTGCCGCACTCGACACAAGAGGAAAGACTAACTAACTAACTAACTAACTAACTAACTAACTAACTAATATCTCATTTGAAAGACTCATAAACTTGTGAACAAAAAATTTGTCCCGGCACAATCCAGAAATAGTCGCCCGCAGTAAATGTACATGACAGTTGCTAAAGATGACAAAGCCAACAGTCACCACCAGAAATGCAGTTTGTCGTTAATGGAAGTAGTCTGTCGCAAAAAGATGTCTATACACAGGTACAATTATTACATAAGGTATTTTGTCAGCCTACATGTAAACCAGCTACTGGCTATTTTGAGCCGTTGCAGAAATGCGAGACATTCCACGCGAAAACACAGCTCACAGTGTTGCAACAAGCACTAAATCCAGTAGCTTAGGCAGCATAACCGTAGATTTCAGTCCATACGTCGAAACAGCACTTACAAAGCGCTGTCAGAAAAAAAAATTACTTTGAAGTTTAACAGTCTGCCACGCCTAGTTCTTCGTAGTGGATGTTGTGTGATGCCAAACAGATTAAAAATAAAAATGCTAAAAATAAAGCTATCCAGATACTTAGCTTCTTTTTCAACAACAGATGCTAATTTATTTCGTAAAACTTACCATCTTCGGTGAATGTTGTTCCCAGAAATTTAAACTTGGAAGCCATTGTACACTTTTGCTAGATCTGGATAGTGTATTCTTTTTCTTCCTATCAACATTACTTCTGTATTTTCAGTGTTGGTTCTCACATTATTTGTTTAGCATTTTTTAAATTCATGGATGTGAACTACTATTGCAATGTTGCGGCTGTATCCAGCTATATATAATCAAGCCCTGGTCATCAGATATTTGTTGACGTAACTAAAATTTTCGTTCCTGGGCTTGGCATCCAGAATAACAAGTATAAAAGTCACGTAGATACTATATAATGCAAAGGAACATTTTCCACGCCTTTAGGCGTATAAGGCATATAAGGCATAAGAGGCTAGAAATATACTTTATATACTAATCGGCACAAGATGGATGATGTGGTCAGCATAACGCCGGAAGCTTTTACTTTCCAGGACTGCTTCCGGTACTCACTCAAGGCTGGGTAGACCTAGGAGCTAGTGTCATTTTTTAAAAAGCTTGGCTCCGCAAGGGAGCGAACCCACGACATTCCGATCAGCAGCCGAGCGTCTAGCCGCTCCGCCACGGCGACTACTATTTATCTTTTGTAAAAACTTCCTGTGACAGACAGACAGACAGACAGACAGACAGACAGACAGACAGACAGACAGACAGACAGACAGACAGATGCATAATTTTTCTGTTTTATTGAATTGATTGCATCATCACCAGGAGACCCGGAAAACAACCATGGATGGGAATCTTTCGTCAGATATAAGAGTTGGAAATGGGGGCCCTGTGCCGGATACTACGTGAGGAAAATATGTATTCTATCTACAGGTCAGTTTTAAGTTTATTTCTACACTTCTGTAACCCAAACGTTTATATGTTTCTAACTTAAATCGTTACATTCACCGTAATCATCATATGTATCAGTTCTGCAGTTAAGCGTTGCAGGGAGTAACAGTTTGCGATCCGTTGCTTGATAGACATCACTTGCTATAGCCATTCCATGGTGTTGTAGAAGCTCTTTAGTTGCATCAATTCATTTTCTTCAACAGCGGCCTCCTGCTTTCACTTCAGATGTTTGCATGTATATTGCCCCAGTTGACAGCTGTTCTGGCTGCATTCGTAGTAGATGACCGAACCATTTAATCATCTGTTTCTAAGTGAATTTTCAGGATAGTGTTGTTCCTATAGTCTGTCTGATAATATCATGTCTAACTTTGTCTCGGATGGTTAGGCTGGCGGCTTTTCTCGGGCACCTCATTTCACAAGTAGTCATGTTTCGTAGGTTAGTCTTTGATAATGTCTAAGTCTTCACGATGAATTAGATTAATTCAAGAAAAGGGAAAGAAATAAAAGAAACGCACGGACAATCACCGCTGGCATGTGGCGATATAATGAGCATATCATTGGAATGTGCAATCGGAGAATCACTAAAAGGAGTTGAAATGGGAAACAAATTAGTTCATTACGGTAGCAAGAAATTTAAAGACGAACATTACTGAGAGAGACCAAAGACAGTCGAATGATATTGGGAACCTTGTGGAGGCTAGAAAGGAAAGATAGCAAAGACCGGGAGCCTTAGAGGACATGAAAAGGGACACAAATGATGAAGATGGTGATGACGATGATAAAATTCGATTTTATTTATTGCCATTAAAAAAAAATATTATTAGTGTAAATTTGTTTGTGTACGGATGTAGCTATGTTTAAAAAAAAAAAAAACCGATCATTTGTCTTTTTACGCATGTTTGCCGTTTCTTAGTGTACGTGTTTATTTTATCTCCCGCTCTTATAGACATATATAGTTAATGATAAATTTCATATCTTGATCCCGTTTTTCCTCTTTTTTCTGTTAAGCCTCCTTTTTCAATACAAACTGTCACCACTACACGTGACTAAGAGCTTCCACTGTCAAAACGTGTGTGAATATTTCTAGCAGAGATCTAAAACGTTAAGTGAATGGTCTACCTGGGAGCCAAAATTATTTTAGAAAAAAAAATAAATAAAAAAAAATTTAGTCCGCTTCTATTAAGACCTGAACTCCCAACAATCTTTGGACCCGTAAGCCAGCGTCTAGTCACTACACCACTGTGGTTCCCCGAAAGAAAGAAAGCAGAACCTATTATGACAGTAGAGTGCAAAAGCTACAGTAGGCGTCAGAGATTATGTTTAGGGGAACAGACGCACAACAACATGCATGATAAACTGGATAAAGAATTCACATACAATGCTTTCAAGTAAACAATATATTGGAAGAGATTGCTCTACCTGTTAAATCATAAAACTGTGTCAATAAGCACAAATACGTATCTCATACAAAGCAAATTCATCCCCATTCTATGTTACTAGTGTCAGACATGGTCACTCGCAAAGTAGCCATGGATATTAGATGTCCGAGAAAATGTAGCTCTGCTCTTTGTGTAAGGTGAAGTCGCACCCAGGTTCGTCTTTGACACAGAGGAGTCAATTGGAATGATATAGAGGGGAAAAAAAAATTGGTGGAGGTGGTGTCAACAGTGGTGGCGATGATGATGTCCTGCATGTTGCATGCTACTCATGTTACTCTGATGCTTGTATAACAAACTATCTTGTGTGTGTATATATATATATATATAGTCTTTATTGTGATACCTCAATGACGAACAGAAGTGATATTCATAATAGCAACTGATTTCTCTCTATAGTTATATAGTCTTTATGTTGCGCTTTATTCTTCATTTCTAGTTAACTTTGTCAACCCGTTCTACTGTATGTAACTGCCGCCTACCTTCTATTGCTGTCTGGTACTAGAGATTTGATCGTCCGCTCTAACATTTAGTAATGTTTCTACCAAATGCGTCACTGCTGACCATCAGTGCAAGTATCTTGTTTGTTGTCTCTGTAGCTCGATGTCTCGTTTCATGTCTCCTCTCTAGTTACGTCTGTGAGGCTCAACGTGACTGGTTTTTCCTTTTCTAGGGTTGAGGTGGCATCTCCACAACTAAAGGTTCTTATCTCCAAGGGTCCATTGACTAGTCCTTTTTTCTGAGTCCTAACGACTCAAGGTTTTTTGTACCATGTGAAGGTCCCTGTTACAAGTCCCTGTTCTAAGTCTTGTAGACTGAATGTTGCTTAATTGGTTTCTTACCCACTATTTAAACTAGGACGCTGAGATGGATGGTATGGGTTTTCTACGCTCTAGCTTCTCCTAGAAGGTTCTAACATGATGAAGCTTGATAACTATCCAGGTTCTCACGGAAGGATTTCTGAATTTCGCCTCGACTGCATTAGATAGCTCTACGTCAAAATACTCTAAATAAATTGACAGCTGTTCTTCTATGGCTTCTAGAAAGCGAGAACGACAAGGCTCTCTCTCTCTCTCTCTCTCTCTCTCTCTCTCTCTCTCTCTCTCTCTCTCTCTCTCTCTCTCTCTCCCTCTCTCTCTCTCTCTTTGATAGGACACAGCAACAAGATTACATCAAGCACTAGCCTTTGTATAACTCGGTTATTTATTACCCCAACATCCTTCTGCTAATAAACATGCGATGGTTCTAGAAATGGAATGTCAAGGATGCTGTCTTGTTGATTTTCAGTCTTTTCTGACTATGTGCAGTATCCTATCTCCTGACAAACATGTGATGGTTCTAGAAACAGCACTGTTACAAAAAGCTGTGTGGGTGACCAAAAGGGACGAAATCAGGAAGAAGACCATTGCAGGGAAAGAAAAGTCCACATAGAACTAGTTCTAAATTACATTCAAAAACAGCGAATAAAATATTTGCTTGCCTATAGAGAATGCTTTGAGACGCTATACCACACAAGTTATACACCAAAAGAGAAGAAGGTTGTAGAGACAATGTAGATAAAAAAACAAAATGAGAAGATGCTATTAGAAAAACTTCATATAACCACGATATGTATATGGTTGAGGCGACCAGAAGAGAAAGAAGCAGAACATTACACCTCCCTGTTTATTCAAAGGCGTGAAGGAGAGAGGAAAGAGGAAGAAGGCACGCACTGTAGACAAACATAATTTCACGACGCAGTAATATAGTCTACAAGAAAAACCAAATGTTAAGATTACCCCTCATAAATGATGAAGATGTATGCGTGAATTAATTTCTTGTGACACACCTTTACACTGCAGCCAACACACTAATGTGTCGCGACACACCGTTAGTAAAGCTGTGAACCCGAATGCAATAGTATGTGATATTTCATAAACGTAAACAGGTATTTGACATGCCGCAGTAATGAGTCATTTTCTTATGCAAAATAATGTTTGCATTACTAATAAGGTTAGATAGTAAAAGAAAAATTATGTACTTCATCAGTTCGGATAAACTGGGTAAAGGACGAAGTAGATATATGTTTGGAAGCAAGGCAAGCGAGCAGATTGACGAACGCATGCCAAATGACATAGATCGTTTATTACGTAAATTAAATGGCCGAGAAACTCGTGAGAGTGAAAGATTTCTTAAGCCGAGAAGGTTCGAAAACGATCGAGTCTTGTTTTGAGATCCGGCAACTGTATGTTTGTCGGGGCAGAAAGTGCTTGTTGACTGAATCAAGCTACAAGTGGATGACTTGCTTGCTTGCTTTTTGTACCCCACCAGGACATCACATAAGCGATGAACACCCGGCGACACAAAGTGCCACCATGCGGATAAGGATCACCCGTGAAGAGGTCCAAGAAACCCCTTTCAGAATTTATCCCCACAATTGTGACCTAGCTATATCCAGGGCCCCCGGCAAAAGCCAGGTTGGGGCTTCAAATAACGAAAAATTGCATCCCACAAGGGGACGACTTCGATACAAGTGAATGACTTAACTAGTTTTCGGCTGCCAGTTCCGAGACAAAACCTGACTACAGTTCGGTTTGAAAATTCTGGTCATGACTGAACGTGTTTGTGTGTGCGCGTGTGTCTGTCTGTCTGTTTAGCGTGGAGGATTATCCTTTTCAAACTGTTGCCGTGGGACTGTTCACGTACATTTTCTTTATGAAGGTAATTATTCACCAATGCGTTCGGGCAATGGAATTTACAACGACAATGTAATTTTGTATTTCATAGATAATGATTTATTGTTGTTATTTTATACACGCTGATTTAACACTGTGGTAATTCACCCAATGAGATATAGCGAAATACACCTGGCGATAAATTGTGTAGTGTATTGGTTGTGTCCGTATTATTCAAAATCACAACCGGAAAACGTTGTTTTAAATAATTGTTAAGTGTTTATGTTTGATATCTTCTTCAGGAGACTTGCCTCGGCTAGGAAAATCAATTCAGATGTTTGCCAACAAATTCTACCTCCAAGAAGACAGAGTGGTCATCGGTTGCCTGGAGGAGAAGATCTTCAACGACACAAGGGATGAATATATGGGCACCAAAGTCTTCGACACCACACTTTATCAAAATGCAACATTTATTAAGAATAAATTTGACTAGTGTTTGTTTTTAAAAGTCTAGTAAACCATAATTTCATAGAAACAAAAGACAGTTCCGGTCTGTAGCCTACTAGGCAACAGTTATTGTCTAACCGTCCCTTTAAGGGATACAGTTTTTCGTTATTTGAAGCCCCACCCTTGCTTTTGCCAACATACCTGGCCCACAAAGTTGGCCATAACGGCTGAAAGGGATTTTTGGGACCTCTCCACGGGCTATCCTTATCCGCATGGTGGAACTTTGTGTCCTTAGATGTAAATTACTTGTGTGTTGTCCTGGTGGGAAACAACAAGCAAGCAAGTAGGCAACAAAGAGACGTGCCTGTGTTTAGACGTCTGCAGATAGAGACTAATAACTTATAGGATTATCTAGAATACACTGTCCTCACTTTTTCATTTTCGATTTTCAATCACAATTCGAGTTACTAGACAAATCAACCTCACTGAACTCGAAATATTTATATTCAATCTCAATCAATCAGGTGCCGTCTCCACAGTTAAGATTGGCTGCAGTGGATCTCCCAACACGTCCTGTCTCTTGTCCTGGTTGTACGCTCTCTCAGACTGCTCCCCTTCCATCTCTTGATCGGGAGGTTGTATTTAATTAATTATTTTTATTTCAATTATGATAATTCTGCAATAAAGTTGACAGATTTTTCCTGGTGTTTAAAAGTCTGATTAAAAATTGTAAGTATAGTTCACGAAAAATTATTTGAAGAAAAAAAAAAAGAAAAAAAAAAAGAAAGAAAGAATTTAAATTTAACAAAAAATTCTTTATAAAATGTAAAATCCCTCCCGTGTCAGTCAATTTTAGAGCAATCGATGATTTCCTCTCTTTTCTTTTTAAATGATCAGTTTGTCCTCAGGGGTGATGTGATCGCCTTTACTTCCGCTTTTTCTTTCCGTGCCATTACCTGAGTGAAGAAATGTGAAGAATTTCGGTGCTATCTTCGAGGTCAAGATAGGAGACCTTTGTAACCAACTTCTCACTGGAACAACCAATAGAGGAGGTACTTTGTGGGGGTTTCTGCACTGGAAGACTGAGCAGGTATGGGAACGCCCATATGAAAAGATGCGGGACATAATACCATATCTCAGCCTAACATAGGATTGTTTGAATTAGGGACCAAAATACCAGCTTCAAGTCGCCTAAGTTGACTTTAATCGGTCTGAACAAACAATGCGGCGAACGCATGAAAGGAAAATAAAAAGACGTCAATGTTTGTCAGTTTTTGTTTCTCTCTCTCTCCCTGTTTCTCTCTCTCTCTCTCTCTCTCTCTCTCTCTCTCTCTCTCTCTCTCTCTCTCTCTCTCTCTCTCTCTCTCTCAAACCATCACTATCCATCTATATGCTATGAACTGTTCGTTTTGCATTTTTACGCAACAGTATACCGATGCGCAAAACCCGCTCTGTTCAAACTAACTCAACCAAAAGAGCCATAAACTTGGAAGACGTCCTGTCTTTTACATTTCCTGTTCATTACAGTCAAAAAGAGTATTGACATGGGGACATTAACGCTTTCAACACACTTACAAAATAACTACGGGTCATTGGAATCATTTTTAAAAAGAGTGTAATCAAAATGAGTCTGAACATTCTTTCTGAAAGAGAAAAGAAATGAAATCGCTACCTGAAAAATGTTACACCATGAGTTCAGAAGATATCAGTTTAGATGGCAGGCTAGAAGGACCTGAAGGTCTGACACTGTAACACTACATATCCCAGTGTTGTTGACAGACCAACAGAGCAGCTCTAATGCCATGTTCATTCTCCAAAGATTGATATTTTAAGGCACCCGTAACGGCTTAGACAACCAAATGTCTCCCTTCCAGCAAAACTGCAAATGATTAAAATCATCTTCGTTCCTATTTTAAGTTATCAGTGCCAATTATGGACAAAAACAGGGCTCTAGGGCAGAAGAAAACTACACGTGAAATGCGCTGTCTTCGCAAGGTCATTAACAACACAGGAAGAGTCAGGGTTTCGTATACCGGCGTGAGAAAGTTGGAATCAGGCCTCCGATTCTGTTACCGCTTTATCTGTATAACATTGCTCTCTGTGGTGCTATGTCTGATGCCAATCTTCTTTCACGACAAACCCATTTGATTTATATGATAACCATAGTATCGTATGGCTAGACTTGTTTATTTGAAACCTTAGTTTTGAGGAGTGGCTGCGAGTTCTTGAATGGTTCAAACGATGAGCACACAAACAGGCGCTTCTCCGTAAATTACGCTTCGTCTCAACACCGCAAGATACACAATGATCAAGATGAGATGAAACAGATAAGCCCCAAATGAGATAAAACAGATAAGCCTCAAATGAGATGAAACACATAAACATCAAATGAGGAACAAATCAAGAAACATGTCTGAATAATAGCTGGTGAAACCATTATTAGAGAAAGAAGACGGCTATATATCGGATATATTCTAAAACGTCGATAACAAACAAAAACAACACAGGCACTGCAATGTGGAATAAATTTACTGTGTACGATAGAGCGAAACCATACGACACATGTTCATACTAGAGCCTGGGTGACCTGGAGAGGATTATGTGCATGATATCCAAAGGAATGCACAGGATAATGATGGAATTGCCTTATGTGGTGTATAAACAAGATAAAGCTGTTATTAATGACTGACATGACTACAGTGGAGACATAACTGACTGTAGGAGACGTTCTGAAGACAGTTTAAGAACGAAAGCTGATAGAAGACGCTAGGCTATGTGAAATAACATATGTCAGAATGTCTAAGTGCCAGTATAACCGACGGTAGTTTGCCTCGAAAGTCGTGGGCAACCCTATCCAAACCAAAGGCCATGGGGGTTTTTACAATCACATCTCACTCCCAGGCCATCACGTTTACATGGATAATCAATCAATCAGGTGCCGTCTCCACAATGAAGGTTGGCTGCAATGGATCTCCAACAAGCCCTGTCTCTTGCCCTTGATGTACACTCACTCATACTTCTGTTCGTCCATCTCTTGATGTTATCCTCCCACTTGTAACGCTGTCTGCCTCTTGCTCGCCTACCTTGAACCTTTCCCTCTAGGATGATCTTTACAATACTGTTATGTCTTTTAATGTGGCCAAAATATTTCACTGGTCTCTTTTTTATTTCACCTAGCAACTCTCTTTTCATTCCCAATTTCCTCAGTTCCTCTGTATTTGATAGCTTTTATTTCCATGAAATACGACCTAATCTTCTGTATATCCACATCTCAAAAGAATTGATACGATTTTCCAGTTGTTTATTCATTGTCCATGTCTCTGTGCCATATAGTAAGGTTGAGAATACATAACATTTGACAATTCTCATTTTTAATGTATTGCTTATTTCTCTTGATGTCATTGATGTCAGTAACTTTTGCATGTTGTTGAAAATGTTTTTTGGCCATCCCTATTCTTTTCTTGACTTCTGTTTCACTTCTGCCGTCACATGTTATTACTTGTCCATGGATAATACCCGGGTGCTAAACCACGCTGCTTCCGTACAGATCTTTCCTCTGTAAGTGAACGCCAGACCAGGATCGTGAAGCGTCTGCCGAGTGCGGGGCAAAGTGACCGAGGACAGATCAAATCACAGCAACCAGTACAAACCAGCCATAGCTACCACACTGAATGTAATACCTAATTACCCACGTAACAAACTACACAGAACATATCTCTTATGAGCGATGTATAATTCAAAAGTATAGCTACTGTGTAAGGAAATACATAGTAACATACACTATGGGTCACTGTGGTCTAAACACAAAACAATGTAATTTATCTGAGAAGAAACGAGGCTTACACGGTACGTGCCTTTGCCGTCGAAGTGGGAGCGAGAGGTCTCGTCCCTACTTCTCTGTACAATGTGATTAAAGAACTAGGATTGCGCGGTAATAAACGGAAACGAACAATTAAAAAACTGGGCGAGGTAGCCGAGAGGGCCTCGAGCTGGCTTTGGACGCAATGAAACAATTTAGGGGACGGGCCTCGGTGAGCTGGTCCGGGTGTCTAGTGGAAAAGGGTTTCTCACCCTTTGAAAGATTCAGTGATCCTCTGCCACCTGCTAACAAAGTCCAACATGTGTCCGGTAAACCAATCGTAAGCTTGTCGCTCGGTCGTCCAGGTATGCTGACTGTTCTAATTAGGCTACCGCGGCGACTTCTTATCTCACAGTACCTTCTGCAATCACCAAGTCGTCTTGTCTCTATCCGAAAGAAAAACACCATCCGGTAATTTCGTGCAGCAGGGTACCAGCCCTGAGCTTCAAGAACTCAGGTGGGCCTACCTCTGAAAACGTCTAGGAAATCGTGGACCGAAACGTTTGTCGACGAGGATAACTTCTACTGATGACTGGTAGATCCCTGCTGTACTTGCTCCCTGTGAGTTTTTTCCTAACGGTCAAACTATGAGTGATGTCTTTACAGTTGCTGGTAATGGAAACAACTCTCCCGATCTTTCGCTGTCCGCTGGTTTTGTTTTCGTCTTGCAGTTCAGTCCCTTTTCTTGTGGGACTCGTGGCTTCGCAAGCGATCCACTCAGTCAGTCAGTCAGTCACGACTTCCTACCATCGTCGGTTCGTCTCGGTACACGCCGGGTCATGTGTTGGTCATCTATCTCAGTGCAGACATGAAACATATACTACTATCATACGATCTGTCCCATACCCACACTAGCTTTTGACACACTACTTTTCCCCCCATAATCCCCCTTTACTGGCTCTATTTACCCCTTTTGTAGTGGGGAGGTGAGGGGGAGGGGGCGTCGCTAAAGCTGAGGAATTCGGCCAGCACGTGTTGTCTCCACAGACTGTGCAGATTAAGATTTATATTTATCTATGACAGAAAAGAAAAGAAAAAAAAAAACCGGATCCTGAGCAATGATTCAAACCTGGTTCTCCTTAAATCGAAACCAGCGTTCTTAACCGTTCGGCCAACCACATCTTAAAGATTCTTAACGGCAAATAAACGTATGGCAAAACTTAAATTTCAGCTACGTTTAAAAAACT